AGTTTTTAAAAAATTCCAGATATTGCATTTTAGAGTTCTAGTGCTTTCATTTGGTTCTTAGTTTCTTCTTCTGTGGTGAGATTTCTCATCAATGCATTCATTATGACTATATTTATAATAGCTGCTTTACAGCACTATTTACAATAGCTAAGATCTGGAAACAGCCCAAATGCCCATCAGTAGATGAATGGATGAAAAAAATGTGGTACATATACACAATGGAGTACTATGCAGCTGTAAGAAAGAATGATCTCTTATCCTTTGAGACAACATGGAGGGAACTGGAAAGTATTATCCTAAGTGAAACAAGCCAAGCAGAAAAAGACAAATACCACATGATCTCACTTATTAGTAGAATATAATGAACATAACAGTGTGAGGAATAGGGTAGACCCAGAAACATGGAAGTAGGGTACAGACTGACAACCCTCAGAAGAGGCGGTGGTGAGGGGAAGGAAGAGATAAACCACAGAACTTATATGCATGTACACATAACCAATGGACACGGACAGCAAAACTGGGGACGGGGTGGGGGGGTGGGGAGGAGGGTGTCAATGGGATAAAAAAGGAGAAACATCTATAACAAAAATAATTAAAAAAATAAAAATAAAATAAAATTGGATGAGTATAATAGCTGCTTTAAAATCCCTGTTTTTGCTAATTCTAATGCATTGCCTTTTCTCTTGATTATGGGTCACATTTACTGTTTCTTCATGTTGATAGTAATTTTGGAATTTTTTGCCCCTAGACACTGAATGATAGATACATTGTAGAGACATCAGTATCCCACTATGTTTTCTCAAAATATAGTGATTTTATTGTGTCTTTCTCAAGCTGTTAGTTTGACATAACTTAGATTCCAAACTCTCTGTCTCCTTTGACATGAAGCAGCTGAAACATCTATTCAGTTCTTTCTACCTTAGCTGGGCTGCCTAAATCTGGCCTTGTTCAGCTAAAGTGGTGAGCCAGAGATTTTGGCAGAGTTTATTTGCACCATTTGGGGTTCCCCTTCTGTAGCTCTTTTTCCCCCCCTCACTTTCCAGCCACTGTGGTTGTCCCACACTGTCCTCTGATTCCCCAGTCACCGCTCACCACCAACTGAGATCTTCCCTCAGACAAAAAAACGATAAAAATAGGAATCTAACCCAGGGTCTCTGCCATTCCCTTAAGAGTCGGCTCCTTTCTGCTTTGGTTTGACTTTGGTTGTTCTCCAGTGCTTTGGGGTTGCTGTTCGATTATATTTTGTCCAGAATTTATACCCCAAACTCTTTCTTACCAAACAAACTTCGTGCTCACTAAGAAATAAACCCTCATTTCCCTAGCCCCTGGAAATCTCCATTGTACTTTTGGTCTCTCTAAATTTGCCTATTCTACACATTTCATATAAGTAGAATCCTATACTATTCGTTCTTTTGTGTCTGGTTTATTTCCCTTAGCATAATGTGTTCCAGGTTCATCCACACTGTAGAATGTGTCAGACCTTCATTCCTTTTTAAGGGTGAACAATATTCCATTGTATATATCTGTACCATATCTTGTTGATGGACCCTTGGATTTCCACATAATTGGCCATTGCGAATAGTGCTGTTATGAACATGGGTGTTCACTTTCTGCTTCCATTTATTTTGGGTATATACCTGTGATGGAATTGGTGGGTCAATCATATGGTAATTCTTTAACTTTTTGAGGAATTGCCAAACTTATATTGCAGAGTGGCTACATACCACTTTATATTCCCACCAACAATGGATAAGGGTTTCAATCCCTTCTAATTCTTTTCAGCACTTCTTTTCTTTTTATTGTCTTTATTATTATTACAGCCATCCTGGTGGGTAGGAAGGGTTATCTCATTGTGGTTTTTATCTGAATTTCCTTAATAACTAATGACATTAAGTGTCTTTTCTTGTGCTTGTTGACTGTTTGCATATCTTCTTCGGAGAAAAGTTTACTTAACTGTTTTTGCCCATTTTTAAATTGTTTTTTGTTGTTGAGTTGTGGTTCTTTATATGTTCTAGATATTAAAACCCTCGTCAGACACATAGTTTGCAAATGTTTTTCCCCATTCTGTCTTGTTTTTTTTCTTTTCCCTTTCTCAATAGTGTCCTCTGATACAAAAAAGTTTAAAATTTTGAAGAAACTGTTAATCTAGATTTTCTCTTGTTGCTCATTTTTGGGGGTTTATATCTAAGAATCAATTGCCAAACCCAGATTCCTAAAGATTTACTATTGTCTTCTTTTATGGTTTTAGCTCTTATCTTTAGATCTTTTCATCCATTTAAGTGTTAATTATGTGTGTGGTGGGAGTTAGAGATCCAACTTCACTCTTTGCATGTGGGGATTCAGATTTCCCAGCACTTGCTGTTGGAGGCTGATCTTTACCCCATCAAGTTGACTTGACACCCTTAGTGAAAATCAGTTGCTCTATATGTAAGGATTTGTTTTTGGATTCTCAATTCTGATCCATTGACCTGTAGCTGTCTCTCCTAGAGCCAGTACCACACTGTTGTAATAACTTACTGTAGCTTTGTGGTAAGTTTTGAAATTAGGAACTGTGTATGCTCCAACTTTGTTCTGGCTATTTAGGGCCTCTCAAATTTCCATATGAACGTATGTACTGGTTTTTCCATTTCTACAAAAGAATTCCTTTTGTAAAACCTGCTTTTTGGATTCTGTTTGCTTTGGAGATTCATTCATGTTTATACGTAGACATTTAATTCATCTACTATAATGGATTACAAAGAAGTATCTGAATAAACCTCAGTATAATTATCCTTTCTTCTACTGAAGTACAATTAGATAGCTTCCAATTTTTTGCTTTAATGAGCAATGTCACAATAAATATTCTTGTGCATGCTATTTGTTTACATGTTTGAAAGTTTTAGGACAGTCGTTTTCAACCTGGGACAATTTTTGCCTGACAGGGATCATTTGACAATGTTTGGAGACATTTTTGATTCTCAAGACTGAGGGCAGGGGTGCTACTGACATCTTGTGGGTAGAGACCAGAGATGCTGTCAAACATCCTATAATGCAAGAATGGCCTCCCACCACTCCCTACAAAGTATTGAAATTGTCCAGTTTGTTAATAATGTCAAAGTTGGGAAACCGTGCTCCGGGGCATTTATTTATTAGTATTGGTTTTTTTAGAGAGAGAGGAAGGGAGAGAGAGATACATGGATTGGCTGCCTCCCACAAGCCCCCCGACTGGGGATTGAGCCGGGACCACTCAGTCCACTGAGCCACACTGGCTGGGCCCTGTGGCATATATTTAGAAGTGGGATTCATAAAGTTTAAGATGTGTGCAGTTTTATGGGTTTTTTTGTTTTTGGTTATTATATGAAAATGATTTCTGTAAACATGTATTGGAAATCATATTTTCTTTAAGTAAAGGTTTGGCATATAGTCAGAGAAGCCCAAACACTAATTTGAAAAATATATGCAGCACTGTGTTTGTTCATTGCAGCATTGTTTACAGTAGCCAAGATTTGGAAGCAGGGCAGCCCAAGTGCCCCTCAGTGGATGAGGCGATAAAAGAATTGTGGTACATTTACACAATGGAATATTACTCAGCTGTAAAAAGAAGGAGATCTTATCTTTTGCAACAGCATGGATGGACTTAGAGAATATTATGCTAAGTAAAATAAGCCAGTCAGAGAAAGACAAGTATCACATGATTTCACGTATATGTGTAATTTAATGAACAAAATAAACTAACAAAGTGGAGACAGAGTCATGGTTACAGAGAACAGACTGACAGCTGTCAGAGGAAATTGGGTGAGAAGGGGGAATGGATTAAGCAAAAAAAACAAAACAAAACAAAAAAAACTCATGGACACCAACAACAGTATGGTGATAGAAGGAGACTTGACTTGGGGTGCTAAACACAATATAATATACAGATAATGTATTGTAGAATTGTATGCCTGAAACCTATATAATTAACTAAAGTCATCCCAATAAATTCAATTAAAAAATCTCAACATGGGGTTAGGTAAAATTGTTTCCATTTTCATGCTTGGATTAAGTATGCATTGCTGAAAAGTGGGTATTTCAGGATAAGAGTGGTATTTTCTTCCATGTTTAAAGCCACTTCAGTACTGTATGCTGATGAAATACAAACCAGTTACAACTTCCAAACCAAACAAAAGAGGAATGTCTGGAATTACAGTTTCTTTGGTGATGCTGACAGCTATAAGCAATCTGATGATCTTAAACCACATAGAGAAGCAACATTATCTAGAGTTAATGAATTCACTCACTTAACCCTGTAATCTTTAACTTCATGAACTGAAATACAGTCGTATTTCCCACCTGATGAAAAGATTGATTTTAGAGTGAAAATCTGCTCCCAAAAAGCGTCACTTGTGTAAGACAATGGTGGTTGGAATATTAGGCTGAAGATGCTGACTGAATGAGAAAAAAATGTAGAATTTTTTCCTGACAAAAGCGGTTGTTAAATATTGAAGGCTTGAAGGTTTGAAAAGTTTTTTTTTCCCCTCTAGTGTGATATAAATTAGTTTTAAAGTTGAAGATGGGGGGGGGAGGGGGGATGAACTTAATACATTTTGAGACCCAATTAAACACCTGTTAAGACCCATGGCTATCCCTTTGAAAATCTAATGAAAGTTATCACTCCAGAACAGTGTCATGCTTGTGTACATACACTTTTGCACATGATATTTGGGTGGCTTATATGCATTTCTGAAGCCCATCATCCATGGACTATTCTCAACCTCCTCAGTCACCCCCAAACCTTGCAGCTCTCCAGGTTAAGAACTTTTAGCGGAGTTTATTAAATCTCTTAAAATACTAAAAATAAGATACTTGAAATTATCACTGAATATTAAAGACACAGCTATAGTATTGTTGTATCTTTCATCAAAGGCAGAAGACTCAGTGATGGAGAAAAACAGGTACTTGGAATTAGAATTCAAGTCCTCCAATACAGATCTTATTTTGATTTTATATCTACAACCTTCATTTTTCTCTCTTTTTACTAGGCATATGCAGCAGTGCTATGGCAACAAGCTAATGAAAACAGCCAAAATTCAACTGAAAAAGCATGTTTTGGAGCTGCCCTACCAGAAGAGAAGCTTCATGACTTTCGTGACGAACAAATAGGACAGTTGCAGGAGCTGATGCAAGAAGCCACTAAGCCCAACAGGCAATTTAGTATTACCGAATCCAGGAAACCCAAGTGTTAGTCTGTGCAATAAAGCTTAACCAAGCGTTCACAGTTCAGAACCCCTTATTTTAACCATCATTGGTTTTTAAATTTTTTTTACGCTTTTAGGTTTTGAGAATGTCTGTTGTCAATGAAATATATAAATATGTATATGTGTGTGTGTGTATTTGGCGATGTTGTGAATGATCTTTGCAATGTATAGATCAGACCACCAGTGGATGGAATTTTACACTATTGAGCTAAGTAACAGTGCTGGCAGGGTGGGATTCCATTTTTGGACTAAACAAGTTTGTCTAACTTGTGGAATTTTGGTAAAAAAATGTTAATGCTACTCTTGTTCAAGCATTAGCTTAGGTTTATCAGATAAATACATCATGATAATACAGAAATAGAATTTCAACAAGGTTTTTATTTAAATACATTGTCATCTTGAATTTCATCATTCCTACTTCCATAATACATATGATTATTCTTTTAAATGTCCTTGAGTCATGGTGTATTTACAATGAAAGGTTAAGAAGAAGCCTTAAGGTTCAGTATTATATGTTGTATAATACATCTCTCTCTACAGTGTTTGTTAATAACTGATGACCCCTGAAATAATTTGTAGTTATCTTGAGAATCTCACTGATTGCCTAATGGTTGGGGAATTCAAAACATTTTTATAAACTGAAAAAATCAAAGAGTAATCCCATTCATATCCTAAAATGGTTATGTATTTAAAAAAGATTACAAACTAAAACAACTGGTATTTCTATTTCATGTTTGCCCTGAGATCTCTGAAGTGACCATTTTCAGGTGCAATTGCACTTGTATCAGGTCTTCCCCCTCCCCAGTTTTATTGAGAAGTAACTGACAAACATCACTGTATAAGTTTAAGGCGTACAGCATATATCAGCTCTTTATAAATTGGTTGCTATTTGCTCCTGTGAGGCTTGATAGTGTTAACTCTTCTTTACTGCTTTTAAGCCATCCTACTTGGTTTATGCACTCCCTAACTCTCCTTTAGGTTATACTTTTTCTCTTTTCTTTAAAAAAAAAAAAATGTTCTCTGGGATTTCATCTCTAGAAATCTTATTTGACCTTACTTGATGCATCCATTGCTTCAAATATTAGTTGTACTCTTAAATCCAGAATCTAAATCTCATTTCTGAACTTCAGATCCCTGTTGGAAAATCCTCATTTGAAATCAAATTTACTCTTCTTCCATTTTCAGTGGATGCATGATATTAACTTATACCCAGTTTACCAGTTCAGAATCCTATAGGATGTCATAATTTCTCTAGAGGCCTCCTCATTTTATAGCAATTCTGACAACTCCATGGGGTGGATTGCAAAAGGGCCACAGTTCCCTACCACTCCTGGTACCCATGCCCTTTGTGTCTCCTCCCATTTTCCAATTCTTCAAACCTGGACTGGCCTTGTTTCTTGATCTGCTCAAAAGAATGTGAGTGGTGACATCATGCAGACTGGGGTTCTAGGCCTCAGAGCCTGGACACTTCCACCTGCCCCACTGGAAACCTACCAGCTGCCATGTGAACACACTTTGGGGGATGCTAGGGTCACAGTTCCCCTAGGAAGTGAATGACTCAAGTTTAAATAAACTCTACAAGGAAGACTAGCACCATGAGTGCAAGGCAGCCGAGGCCACCAGAAGACAGCTTTGGAGTCAGCACATGCATGATGTAAACATTTCTGAAAATATCTACAGGAAACAGGGCATTATACAAACTGACTTAGCATATTTGAAAAAGAACCAAATAGAAGTCTAAATATAAATCAATGGGCAGGTTTAACAAAAGATTAGATGAGCCTGGTAAGAAATTGATGACTGCACAAAGGACAGCAGAAATTATCCAGAATGGATGTAGCAAAGGGTCTGATGTACAGCCAATGACAGTTTCAAATAGATAATGGGACAGAAACTATCTGAAGTGATTATTGCTGAGAATTTTTCAAATCAGGTAAAAATACCAGTCTCCAAATGTATCCGAAGCAGGAAAAATGTGAAACCCTCACTTAGATAAAGCGTAGTGAAACAGGATGCTGAAGACAAAAACTTGTAAACACAGCCAAAACAAAAGTCACAGCTAACCTCAAAGCATTATCAGCTCGACTTTTCTGTAGCTGACTTCTCAACAGCAATAATGAAAGCCAGAAACCAGCTGAATGACCATCTCTAATGTGTGAGGGAAAAATAACTTCCAACTTAAAATTCTATACTCACCAAATACATTTCAAGAATGACGGTGGATCCTTCGCCAGTTTTGCTCAGTGGTTAGAGAGGGGTTTTGGGTTTGATTCTCAGTCAAGGGCATGCACCTGGGTTGCAGGTTTGATCCCCGGCCCTGGTTGGGGTCATTTGTCTCTCCCTCACTCCCATTCTATCTGGAAGTCAATGGAAAAATATCCTCTGGTGAGGACTAAAAAAAATGATGGTGGACTAAAGACAGTTTCAGACAACATACATGAGCAAGGTTGCCACCTGCGGGTTGTGACAGAAGGAAATTCTAAAGGATGCGCTGGATGGAGCAGGAAGGTGGTAAAAGAAAGAACAAACCAAAATGCTGGTCAAAATCTATCTAAAGGGACACGTACCATATAGAACAATAATGATTTTTCATGGGGTTAAACAAATGAGGGATTTAAAGATACACAGGAATAATGATATATGTTTGTAGGGTAGTGTCTGGGGTTAAGTGCCCTAAGTGTGGATGGTCTGAGAAGAGAATGAAGAAACTGATTAAGTATAAATGTGATTCCTAGTGTATAACTCATTTCTCTATAAAAAATGAGGTAATAGATATAGCCCAATTATGCCAGAAATGACATTTCATGTAATTATCCAGTTAAAGGCCGATAGTTAAAATGATTGAAAAAAATGAAAGCAATTACATGTTATTGTAAGAGACCAAACCTATGGCATAAAACACAGAAAGTGAAATGATGGCAAATGTTATACCAACCAGAAGTAAGCTAATATAGATATATTAATATCTGAAAAAAATTGTTTAGGCAGAAACATTGCTAGAAATAAATTAAGTTCACATAATGAGAGTTCAATTCACTAGGAGGATAATTTAAAATTATTACTGTGGAAGTGATTAAGCAGCCCCATATTTTAAGAAGTTAACAAAGTTCCAAATAACCCATGAATCAATCATGAAATCCTAGTGGATCCTAGAATTTAAGTGGAACTGAACATTAGTGAACTACTTAATAAAATTAATGGGTTGTAGCTAAAACAGTAGTGGGGGGGGGGAATTGATAGCCTTAAATGTGTCTAGAAGGAAAAAAGGCTGAATATTAATGAGAAAAGCATCTAAATATATTAGAAATAAATATATTAGGAAAACAGCACAAAACAATCTCAAAGGAGATAAAGATTAGAGAGAAAGTAATAAAAAGAAAAGTTTATTCTTGGAAAAATACTTAAGAAAAAAAGAGCAGGTGCACGTTAACCAATGTCAGGAGTGAAAGAACAGAACTCTGTTGTGACATCAGGTATGTTATGAACAACTTAAAGCCAATACATTTGTAACGTGTGCAAGAAATGGACACATTTTGAGAAACACATAGCTTACCAAAATAGACAAAAGAATGATTCTATAGCCATTAAATTGATTGACTCAATAGTCCTAGAAAGAAAATTCTAGGTCTAAACAACTTATTTGGTGAATACTGCCAAACATTCAAGAAATAAATAATTCCAAATTTAAGCCCTTCCAGTGAATAGAAAAAGAGAGATACTCCCTAACTCATTTTATGAGAACAGCAAATAAATAACCTGATAACCAAATGATGAAATGAGCAACGAAAATTACAGGCCAGTTTCACTCAGGAACATAGACACCAAATCCTAAGTAATAAGTAAGAGAAATCCAGCAAAGGATGACTGTCATGACCTAGGCAGATTTATGCCGGGACTCAAAAGTTGTTTTTACATCAGAAAAAACTATGATCCCTGTCATAATGATCTCATTAGATGTAGAAAAAAGCATTTGCTAAACATTCAATATCCATTCATGATAAAAAAAACACTCTTAACAAAGTAGGTATGAAGAGCACTTTATCAATCCAATTAAAGACTTTCTACCAAACACCTGCAGCAAACATAGTGCTGAATCTTTGAAAGCTTTCCCTTTGAGACTGGGAATAAGACAAGAATGTTTGTCATCACTGCTTTTCAAGTCAAAACTGTTAGCCTCAGATAATGTATATGTAGAGAATCTAAAAGAATCTACAAATCATTAAAATGAATAAGAGAGTTTAATAAGTTTGTTAGATGCAAAAATTGCAATTCAAAAATTAATTACATTTCTATATAGCAGTAACAAACAACACGAAAATCTATAAAAGTAATATCAACAAATACTAAATACTTAGAAAGCAGTTTCACACAAGATGTTCAAAACTCTGGAGAAAATTATGAAATTTTGAAGACACTCCAGAAGACTTAAAGTAGTATTCCCTGCTCAAAGATTGGAAGACTTAATAATGTTATTATCTTAATTATCCCCAAATGGTTTGTAATTTCAATGCAATCTTCATCAAAATTCCAAGTGGCTTTTGTAATTGACAAGCATATTTTAAAGTTTATGCAGAAGTGCAAAGGACCAAGAATAGCCAGGCACTCTCTAAGAAGAATGATGTAATAGAACTTACCTTGCCTACCAGATATCAAAATATAATTATAGTTTTTAAGATAGTGTAGCATTTTGCCCAGCTGGTGTGGCTCAGTGCTTGAGCATCAGCCAAGTGCTCATGCACTTGGTGAGCATGCACCAAGAGGTCATGGGTTTGATTCCCAGTCAGGGCACATGCCCAGGTTGTGGGCCTGATCCCCAGTGAGGGGCATGCAGGAGGCGGCCAGTCGATGTTCTAGCTCATCAATGTTCCTATCTCTCTCTCCCCACCTCTCCCTTTTTCTCTCTCTAAATCAAAGGAAAAAAAAAGTGTAGCATTTTATTATATGGAGGCTGGTTTACGGCAACAGTGGTGCTATCCTACTGGGGAGAAAGGACTGCTTTTCAATAAGTGGTTCTAGGACAGTTGGTTGTGTTGTACCTAGAACTGGTTGTAGGTTTCTTAAAGATTGAAATGTTGGCCCTGGCCGGATTGGCTCAGCGGTTGGAGCGTCAGCCTGCGGTCCAGAGAGACCCGGGTTTGGTTCCCGCTAAGGGCACGTACCTCGGTTGCAGTTTGTCCTCGGCCCGAGTTGGGTCGTGCGGGTGGCAGGCAACCACTCGATGTGTCCCTTTCATGTCGATGTTTCTCTCTCTGCCTCTCTCTCCCTCTCACACTAACTGAACAAAATAAACGAAAAAAAAAAATTGAAATGTTGAAGGGAAATTATAACACAATCTAATATATG